TGTGCTTTGTTTTACACGAGATAGGGTTCCAATTCCCAGGAACTGAACATCTACCTCTTGAAGAGGCCAATTTGGATGCCAAGATTCTGGAGTAATGATACTTACATCTGCACCTGTGTCTAATAAGCCTTCAATAAAAATGTCATTTATACAGACTCTTAGCTTTGGTCTTTGATCGTTAATAGAAGTCTACCAAAATATACGTTTACTCTGTCCTACTGAGTTTTTTGGCTCATTCTCCACATGTAATTCAACATTTAGACCAGTATTACTTTTTACAGCAGACATTGGAGTTTTCAATTTTCTTGGTGAGACACATTTTCCCCTGTAACTGGGAATGACTGGGCCACTTTTGGCTTGGGGTTCTGCAAGAGGCTCCTCAAGGGGTTTCCCAATGGTATCGGGTTGCCTTGTCTGTCTGTTGTTGACCTGCATTCGTTGGACCAATGTTGACCTTTACCGCATCTCCTACATATACCTGAAGGCTGAGGTCTATTATTCCTAGAATTTCTTTGCCTGCAATCCCTTTTCAGATGTCCCAATTTACCACAATTAAAACACCTGGTAGTTTGATGTCTCCTCATAGCTTTGGAAATCGCTTCTCCTACCCAAGATTCATCATTATAGCTAAACGTCTCAACATTCATTGTATGCTGTATCCATTCTTCCATAGGTGCTGATCTAGATCTTAAAGGCCCAATTATCTTTTTACACTCTGTATTTGCATTTTCAAAAGCTAGAGATTCAAGAAGTATTCGTCTAGCTTCTGGGTCTGTTACCCCTATGTCCAGAGCCTTAATTAATCTTTGCACAAAGTCAGTAAAGGGTTCTCTCTGTCCCTGCCTAACCCTGGTATATGATTTGACCCTTTTTGCTGGATCTTGTATTCTATTCAAAGCATTCAAGGCTGCTTTCTGACATAAGGACAGCACTTCTTCATCATAAAGAGCTTGAACCTGTGGATCAGCATATTCTCCTACACCAAGAATTTGATCTTGGGAAACCTCCACACCTTTTGCTCTTCCTTGCTGTTCCATATGTTTGGATTCTTCTCTGAAATAAATTCCAAACATCAAGGAAGGTCTATCATCTAAAACTGCAGACACTAGCTGAGAGAAATCATGGGGGGTAGCTCTGACATTAGAAGCCCAAGTCCTTATCATTTCCTTAACAAATGCAGAGTGCAAGCCATAATTAACGACAGCTTGCTTAATTTCTTTTAAATCATTCATTGCTATTGGTGTCCATCTAGCTTCTTTAACTCCCTTTGACCCTTTAGAAGTTGACCCTTTGTCAGAATAAATTACAGAGTATGTCATTAGAACCCTGGGTAAGCCAGTTCTAACAGCTGGTGGTGGCATTGTATCCTGTCCTTGTGCCTTCTTACTCTGTTCACCAGCTCCAATAATTTCTTCAATCATTTCTAATCTTTATATCATTGTCTCCCTTAAATCCTGAATCTCCTGACCTACCCGTGTTTCTAGGAATTTCACTAAGATATCAGTTTTTTGGTTCCCATTCTGGAGGTACATTCTATCTGTTACCTTATCAAAACTTTGTGGTAACGTCTGAACGTCAAATTTAACAGCCTGAACCCTTTCAGGTAACTTCCTAGTACCCTTGGATATGGAGTCAATTTTGTCTATCATAGTATCCACTTTTTCAGATAACCCCTGATTTTCAATAATTTTAATCCTTTCAACTAGTTGTTCATTATTAGTCCATAAAAATCGTATCTTTCTTAATGATAAAATATTGAGAAGAAAACTGAAACGTAGTAACAAGTAAATTAATGTATCCCCATAGTCATATAAACCTTGCATGACATAATCCATTGTATTAATAAAGAAAACAGTAAAATTGGCGTTGGAAACAAAAACTGCCATATTACCTCTTGTCTAGTAGGTGGCGCTGTTGCCAAGTCATGACTAGAACCACTGCAAAGGTGCCAGAAACAGGGTCCTGTTTCAGTGTCCGCCTTAGTATTTGTTAAAAACTAGGAGATATAAGTTGCTCAAGAAAGAAAATGTAATTAAATCAATTCCATACATGGAACCAGAAACCCAGAATCCAGGGGTAGAAAAGAGCAACCTGGAAGCCACGCATGCCTCCACATGACCGAGTCGTTCTGATTCACGCCACTAAAGCACCACACTTCCAAGGGAAATTTAAAAACAACTCAGAAAAGAGCAAACCAGGCAGGCAGAGACTGTCCCGAGCCTGTGGAGCTTGGGAGGTGTGGGTTTAATTGAACTGCTGGCTCCACACACAGGGCACAGGCCGCAGCTGAGGGAGGGCTCGTGCCTAGTCGAGCTGGCAGCAAGCAGTTGAGTGTGGGGGAAGGGGGTTCTACAACCAAACGTGGGGCGCCAGATGAAGGCGTAAGTCACAAACAATCCCATACCAGTTTGGAATTATGATTAATTAGAATTAATAACCATAATTAGAATGGTTATTCATTCAAAGGGGAAAAAACTTACAGATTACCGTCCCAGACAACAGCCCCTCTGCGTTAGGAGCCGGAAGCAGAGCCGTATCTCAGCGGCTATTGGCTGAAGGAGCGGAAGGAGCTCCCACAGCAATCCCCTGTAAAATTAAAATAAAAACAGATCACTTACTTCCAACATATAATGGCATAGGATATGCATTGTCATTCCAAAACACAGGGAAGGGAGCATAGTAAGGAAATACTAGACCAAAGCAAGTCCAAAAGCCAGCTGGGAAAACCCTAACTCTGCATCTCCGTGTGTGATGTCAAAGCTCTCTTCCGATCTCCAACTCTGTTCAGCTTTGTTGACCACAACACACTTCTCTCTCTTGGGCTGGTTCCACTCCCTGTTAGCAGCTTTCCTCAGCAGGTGTCCATGACTCTGGCATCTCTAATATCTTGGGGTCTCCAGGCTTTAACTTCATAGCTTCACTCAATGGCCTCTTTACTAGTTCTTCATGCAGGGACACCCCTGACACATGCATGGCCTCAGTGGCTTTTTTTAGGCATCGAGGCAAATTCCATAACCTGCTTCTTCTGTCAAAGAGAGACAAAGCTGGCTGTGGAGGAAGCGACAGCGGAGAGGAGGCAGGTTTCCCTCCTTGTCATGATTTAATAATGCCATGAGTCAGATGCCAGATATAATGTTTACCTAAATTGAGCTACCATTAATAAAAACTTGGAAGTCAGAAGTTGGGATAAAAACCTGATAAATCCAAGGAACAGCAGAGGGTGGTTGGCTGACCCTATTCTCTACATTTTCCTGATCCAAAAGTCAGGGAAATCCCCCTCAGCCCCTCTTTCTTTCTGCCTGTCCCCTTCTACTGGCCTTTCTCAGTCCTCCAACTTCTCTATGGCTAATCCCAGCCAGCCAATTGCTGCCTCCCTTGATTCAAGCTGGTTATATTGGTACCTTGGAGTGGCAATGTGAACAATTCTCCCACAACAGCTTGCTGTGTTTGGAACATGGCCCCCTCGTGCAATTATACCTTTCTGGTTTTGATTGTTACCTTCTTTGCCTAAGCTTGGCTGCCTTTAATCTTGCTCTGCAGACCACTCCACCTTGTAGTTTTAGAGTATAAACTGAGAAGAGATGGACATCTCCTGTCTTCTACTCTGTCTTTGTTAGGTTTTCTATTGCTGTGACCAAACACCATGACCAAAAAGTATGTTAGGGACGAAAGGGTTTATTTGGCTTTCACTTCAGTATGGCTGTTCATATTGAAGGGAGGCAGGACAGGAAGTCACATAGGGCAGGATCCTGGAGGCAGATGCTGTTTACTGGCTTGCTCAAACTGCCTTCTTACAGAACCCAGGACCATAAGTCCAGGGAAGGCCCCACCCACCACAGGCTGGGCCCTCCCCCATTGATCACTAATTGAGAAAATGCCTTACAGCTGGATCTCATGGAGGCCTTTCCTCCACTGAGGCTCCTTCCTCTCTGATGACTCTAGCTTGTGTCAAGTTGATTGTGCCCATTCTTACTGGTGTGGGTCAGTGCTTCTTCCAGAATGATCCCTGCAGTATTTCTGGAGCACCCCCTTTCCCCACTCAGCAAGATCCCCCTCACCAAGACTCCAGCTAGTCTAGAGACACTGATGCTCTCAGTCCACTGGAGGTTCCTGGAACCCGGGAAGCCTGTACTCCTTCTCAGATTCCGGGGTTCCCTTCCAGTGGCCGAGGGGATTGTGAGACTCAGGGCTGGAGTCCCTGAATAGAAGAAGATGAAATAATTCAACTAGATGTTCAGACAAGGTCAGGACCCTTGGGGAAGAGCTGGTGAACTTGGTCCCTGGGCAGGTGATTGCATCTGGAGTCTCAGTGGGATATGGAGGTGATGCTGTTTTTCAAGGAAAAGTCTCTGAAGGACACCGAGGCACTCGTAGTGGTTTCTGGAAAATAGGCTAGGCATTTAAAATGGGAATATATAACTTCCGAACAAGTGGTGAACGAGTGTGTGAATACTTGCAATGGTCCCATGGTTCTGGGGATATAGGATCTGATAGGGCCCAACTCTTGGAGGGCTTTTCACCTGAATGAGCACTCAGCTTCCATAACAGGAGGTGACGGAGCATGGGGTTATGCTTGTGGCCCTAAGGTAAGACCTCTTAAATGTCTGTGAAACTGCGGGCCGGGCAGGCATCTCCACTCCACCCTATATACTACAAGGGGTCAGGCATGTATAACTCAGCTCCCCACCCCCAGATCCTGATTAGGGAACTCTTCTCCTCATGGCGTCTGTACAGTCCTGATGTGCATCCCCACACGGTCCCGCCAAGACTGTTAATCCGGAAGACAACAAAGAAGCACATCCATTAACTATCCAGAGGATCAAAATTTGCCCAAGATTCAGCCCCCTACTGAGTCCAGTTGCCAGCAACACACGGTATGCCCAGGCAGTCACAAGACCCCCCCCACCCAGATCCTGTTGCTTCAGAGGCATCTGCCCTATACAGTGCTCCCTGGCCTCTACAAGGGGACCAGCTCACCAGACTCTTTGTCTACATTCCAGGAACAAGCCCTGTCCAGTGTGTTCACTAAGCGAAATGCCAGGCCCTCCCCTCATCTAAGAAGATGACAGGTATGTTATTCAGCCACGTCCATGCCTGAAGAGGAGGGAAAGCCCATTTGTGGTTGTGGATGAATTAGAAAAGAGATTTTCTACTCATGGCTGGTCTTAAATGAGAAGATCCAATTTAGGTTTGCAACCTTTTACTGATGGGGACAGACACCTATAACAGGAGGAACAACTCCTCATAGCAAGAGACTCAAAGCAAAAACAGACTGAGAAAGAGAGTGTGATGTAGGAGGGTTATCTGTCTATATGTTACTCTCATTGGTTAATAAAGAAACTGCTTGACCTGATAGGTCAGAACATAGGTGGGTGAAGTAGACAGAACAGAATGCTGGGAAGAAGGCAGTGAGGCAGACACTATAGCTCTCCTCTCCAAGATGGACACAAGTTAAGATCCTTCTCAGTAAGCCACCACCTCATGGTGCTACACAGATTATTAGAAATGGGTTAGATCAATATGTAAGAGTTAGCCCATAAGAGGCTACAGATAATGGGCCAGGCAGTGTTTAAATGAATACAGTTTGTATGTTGTTATTTCTGGGTGTAAAGCTAGCCATGCGGGAGCCAGGCGGGAATGCAGCCTGCCGTTCCTGTTACAAGAGTGCTTACCTCAGAGGACTAAGAAACTAAAGTAGAAGCCAGAGCCTCCAGCTCCTAAAAGCTGTCTGGGCCCACAGCTATGGCAGCTACACACTGCCAGACTCACATAAAGCGTCAAGGTTGAATGAGTTGGGGAAACCAACTAGCAGACCGGACAGCCAAATCAGCTGCCCTCTGTGAAGATGCAGCCCTGTAGACCCTCCACTACCCTCCAGAAGGTATGTTTATGACCAGGTGCTCCTGGATCTCAGGACTTCAAAAAATCAGGAGGACTGGCTGATTACTACATATAGGAAAATAATAATTCCAGAGATGACAGCTCCCAGCCTAGTCCAACAAGCTCAGGAAGCAACCCATCTAGAAAAACTGCCCTGTAAGAATTGTTCCAAAGGTGTTTGGTGGTTCTGAGGCTGCCAACACTGACCCAACAGACCAGCAAAGCATGTCTACAGCGTACTTAGAACAATCCAGAGAGGGACCCGAGGTTCCCACACTGACAGAAAAGAGCATCTAGAAGTGGACTTTCCTGACAGTCAACCCAGCAAAGGCACTGAGATTTGCTGTTTACCATGTGCACTTTGCAGTGTGCGTGGAAGCTTTTCCTACCTGCACAGAAGATGAACGTGAATGTTGCACACAGGGGACTGCCCCCACTCATCAGGCCGAGTTGTGAGAATGAATCGCACCTTTAAAATAGCAGCGGCCAAGCACTGTCAAGACACAGGCTCCCTTGGCCAAAAATTCTGCCACTTGTAGTGTTTAGGGTGGCTGCAGCCATTCCCCTTTCAAGGTCATGTCTGGCTGTTCACCTCCACTGCTCCCAAGGGACTGGGGGACTTCTGAGAGTATGGGCACACCTGCCTCCAGCAGTTCTTGAAAGATTTGGCTGATGCTGCATGAAAAATTGTCCAATCCTCACCACTTCCTCAAGTCTTAAAGTTGCAGGTGTCACCAGCTGTAACATGAGGGCCTGCTTCTTGGGGTTTCTGTCCTGCCTGGTTCCCATAGTCATCAGGCCCCAAAGAAAATCACACAGAGGTCTTCACAAGCTATAAACTTATTGGCCCATTAGCTCAGGTTTCTTATTAACTCTTGTAACTTATATTAACCCATTATTCTTACCTATGTTAGCCACATGGCTCAGTACCTTTTTCAGTGGGGCAGGTCACATCCTGCTTCTTTGGTGTCTGAACAGGACTGGAGAAAGAACTTCCTTGTTCCCAGAATACTCCTGTTCTCATTGCCCCGCCTCTACTTCCTGTCTGGTTGTCCCTGGCTACTAGCCAATCAGTGTTTATTTAAAGCATAATTGACAGAATACAGAATTGTCCTTCACCAACCAGCAGTTCTAGGTTACACAGCACCCATACCAATGCTGCTGTGGACCCAAGCCAGGAGTCAACCATGAGAGTCCCAGACTCAACCAGCTTCTACATACACTGACCATCTCAAAAGTTACCTCAGATGGGAACAGTGGCTCAGCTGTTATTCTGCCTCCTATGTCTTCCCTGATTCCATGGATGTGCATCTGGATCAGTTTCCACTCAGCCTCTTTGACCCTGTCATATAAATTAGTCTGGAGAGCAACCTTGACCCAGGGCAACTCAATTCCTGGACCCCATCTATATAGCTAACTGCTCCCCAGAGGGGTTTAGCCTTTTCTCCTTCAGGTGATGCCTTTTGAGACTAGGCCAGATCATTCCTTGGATCTCATTGTGCTGTGGCAGAACTGGCCAGACAGGAAAACAAACTGCCATTCTTTTTTGGAGATGGCCCAAGCTAGTGACAGCCTATGGGCAAGTGGTCAGAGGACAAAGGAATGATTGTGGGGAAACCTTTTGGTCTTACCTTAAACACTGGTCATGCATGGATTTCACCAGAAAAAGGGACTAGAAGGGAGCTCCCACAGAGGAACAAGGAGTTTCAGCCATAATAGATCTTAAAGGGGAAAATGTGGGAGGAATAACATGGGGACTGAAAAATTCTTAATGGCAAGAAGCCATGACCTTGCGATGGGCTGGACTGGCACAAGGGCAAGAGACCCCTAATGACATTATTGTTTTATTGTTATGACAACTGGTCAATGTGACAGTACCAGTTAGCAGAGTTAACACCCTAAGCCCTTGGGCCCCGGCACAGGACAAAGGTAAACAAGACAAAGTCATCCAGATGGATCCTGATGTTTAACTTCTAGAAAATGTTGGCTTTAATAATGCCAGCAACAAGTTCTTTAACCCAGGTCAGGGCTGTGGAGGGTGTTTACCCGCAAGCCAGGTTATTTATACTGGAGCAGGACTGAATAACCAACACAAAAGGGGTGTGCTTAACTGGGCCACCTAGTGTTCAGGTCACAGGAAAAGCCAATGTACAAAAAATTAAAGCTGGGTGTTGGTGGCACACACCTTTAATCCCAGCACTCAGAAAGCAGAGGCAGGCAGATCTGTGTGAATTTGAGGCCAGCGTAGTCTACAGAGCGAGTTCCAGGACAGCCAGGGCTACACAGAGAGACCCGGTCTCAGAAAAATAAAATAAAATAAAAGGACTGAAAAACACTAGTTAAAAGAGCAGTAACGGCTAATGGGACACAGTTCACCTGCCTCAGGAGACAGTTGTAAGCTGGTATTCTTGGGCCTCAACATAGATGTGCCCCAGGAAGTGAGGTCAACAATATATACATCCCTTAGAGTCAAGAAATAGTAATTTCTTCTATAAAGATTTTCAAATGAAAAAGAAGCTTTTAGATTAGGATCGATGGAGATGATGTAGAAATAAAAGAGAGTGGGCAGGCATCTCTAGAAGTAGAATTGTTCTTTAATCAGAACAAATGAAGTGCGAGGTCTCTTTGCAGAAACGAAACTATGTGCATGTGCCATGAAAGGTCTTGGGGTTCCATAGGATGGGAAGGGGGAGCTTTGGGGATGGAAGGGTCCATCTGCAGGTCAGTTCCCCTGCAGTCTGTGGACGGGAGATGTCAGTGGGGTTGGTATGTGGAGGTCCTTCCTATCGGAGGCATGCAAGGGTGTTATCAGTCAAGTCAACTTTCCGGTCTGAGTTGCTCAGTCCCCCTGCAGCTTTTGTGCAATTAACTCTCCAGCCGCAAGTTACCGTCTCTGGTACTCTTCCTTTCTCTGTCTAGATCCAAGTTTCCGCCTGATGACGTCCACCCGCTGGGGGAGAGGAACAGCTGGAATTGCTAGGGATGGATGGGTCAGGTGCCTCTCTTTCTGTGCACTTGCCTCCTGTGGCAGCCCCGCTTCCTTACAGCCTGATCTTGTGAGAGCCAACAGTTAGCTTTTCAGCTGGAAGATCCTAGGTGTTTTCTTTTTCTTTTTTCTTTTAATTGTCTAGCTCTGAAAGTGATGCATCTTCCTCCAGCACATATTATAAGTGGAAAATAAAGCTGCACAGACAGTCCAGACAAGGGCCACACAGAGGTCTGTGTACCAGGAGTCTGGTTTATGGTCTATGTGGAGGACGTGCATCTTTAAAGATAAGGTCCAACAGCCTCCAGGGGCAATAAAGATGGTAAGGACTCTCAAGAAAGACGTTCTATGGTAAAGATGATGAAATTCAAGTAAGATTTTGAAGATGTAGAACCAGAGCCACCCCTAACGGAAGAAGAAGGCATTTGCGGTGAAATAAACATATCTTCTTGGTACCCACTCAAGGTGCAGGAAAGGGCTTGTTTCCCTTGGTGGTTAAATCATTTAAAGGCAAGGAAAGCTGGAGACTCAAGCAAAGCCCAAGTTTATTCAAAAAGAATGCGTTTATTAGTGATTAAAAGGAAAAAAATCAACAGCAGGCAAATTATAAATCCCAGCAGCTGCCTGAAGGTGGAGAACAGGAAAGAAGCAGGAAAGCAATGCTGTTGTAGTTAAACCAGCATAGAGGTCAGCTGTATGACTGACAAGCAACATGGTGGGAAGGGAAGCTTTATTTAAAAAGTAAGGGAGTTATAAGTACCCCCAAAAAGCACATGTCAGTCCTGGCCATCACCTGAGAGAAAGAGAAAAACAGGAAGAAATAAAGCGGACAGGAGAGGTGGCTCAGTGCATCAAGTCCTGCTCTTCCGGAGGACTGGGGTGGGCACTAGAAGCCACAACAGGTAACTAACAAGCCCAGCTGTAGGTCTAGAAGGACACCACACACCTCTGGCCTCCACAGATGTCTGCATACATGTGTACATCCCTCCCCCCATATCTACATAACTAAAAATAAACTTCAGGGCCTGGAGAGGTGGATCATGGGTTAAGAGCACTGGCTGCTCTTCCAGATAGCATGAGTTTAACTCCTAACACTCACACCACGGCTCGTAACTACTTAAACTCCAGTCCCAGGGATCTAACATCTCCTTTTGGCTTTTTCAGGTACCGAGAATGCTAAAGATGCATAGGCAGACATGCAGCAAAGTACCCATACAGATATTTGTTTATATTTTAAGAAGAAGAAGAGGAGGAGGAGGAGAAGAGGAGAAGGAAGAAGAAGAAGAAGAAGAAGAAGAAGAAGAAGAAGAAGAAGAAGAAGAAGAAGAACAACAACAACAACAACAACAACAAGAACAAGAACAACAACAACAACAACAACAACAACAACAAGAAGGATGTCTCTCTGAGAGACAGGACTCAAAACAAGCAGGTAGTCCCAGCTGAACCTCATGGAGGATCTTAGGCTTAGTGCCAGGGAGCTGAAATTTGGGGAAGAAAAAGTACATTATCTCATTAAAGGAATAATTACTCCACCTGTCTCTCTAGCATGCCTTAAGGTGAACCCACCTTCCTAAGGGTGGTCCTGCTTTTTTAAGAGGTGGTCTCTTAGCCAGGTGATTGACCAGCCCCATTGGATTAAATGTTGGTTAGCTTAGAATGCTAGACCTCCACCCAGGCCTGAGATTTAAACTTTTTGACCAGAAAGAAATTAATTCTTGATTAGTGTGCATTTAGTGTTGCTGTGTCATTCTCAAGAGGATCTGGGTTTCAATCCTACTTCCTCTATTTCTTGGGTGGAAACTGCGTGGTTTATTAGAGAGAGGAGAGCACTATACTCCAAACTTCTAGAAGGGCTCATAATATGCTATGGTGAAAGGAGTGACACACAAGAGAACGAGCCACTTAGGATGGTGCAGGCACTCATGTCGGGGTGGGATGGATCCTTCACAATGAAACGGATCTCTCTGAGAACTGGAACCAGCTGTCAGCTTACCAGATGGGGTAGTTATAGGGGAGAATGGGGGGCAAGAAAGGAAGTTGAAAATTTTCCCATATTTGACCATTGTTATGAATAACTAAGAGTGTAGTGGTAAAAAAGGAAGCCTTGACCGAGTGAAATCTTGAGCAAATATCCATTTTGACATGGACACTGCTCGTTGAAGCCTCAGAGACTAATCAGCCCATGGTAAATTGGTAAAGTCATTATCTATATGAGCAGGGCTCAAGAATTGGCAAAGCTTTTCTTGGGAGTCTGAGTAGGACTGTTATGGACGACTGATCAGCCAGCACTTGCAAAGACTAAGGTCTGCAGCTTCCTCTTCTTGGATGTCTAGAGCCTGAGATGACTCACCTACAGAGACCTCCCACCAAGACTAGCCAGCACCTTCTCCCATAGTCTAGCTAACCAATGGATCAAAGTTACCAATAGCTGAGCCCAGCTTGTCTGTCTCTGTCTCTGTCTCGGTCTCTGTCTCTCTGTCTCTCTCTGTCTCTCTGTCTCTCTCTCTCTCTCTCTCTCTCTCTCTCTCTCTGTGTGTGTGTGTGTGTGTGGGTGTGTGTGTGTGTGTCCTTTCTTCAGTCCTTGTCCATCCCTAGTCAGGGTTCCAGAACCTCAGCACAAAGAGCAGTCAGTTAAAGAACATCAGGCAATCAACAAGTGTCTTCCCTGGCAGGCCACCGCCTGAGGTCCACCACTGTGTTTCAGGAGCTGTCATCAGCCAAAATGGAGGAGTCTACAAAATGGTGTGACTCTGGCTAACAAAAAGAAACTACAAGTGTTAACACTCATAAAATGATGACATTTTGAACTGCACAAAAATGGGAACCCAAAGACATGCAAGAGCACTGTGAGAGGACAGACACTGACAGGGTCGAAATGGATTTGTTCCCCTGAGTGCAACGCATTCTGTTCCCAGTGATCATAAGGTTTGCTCTTCTATATGTGTGTGGGTATGGTTTTCTTCTTTATCTTTTATTTTCTTTGCTTTACCTACTGCTGTGGCGTAAGGAGAGGGTTTGGGTGTCCAGTGAACAAGAGATGTGCCTTTGATGGTTAAGCCTTACTGTTGACTTGATTCAATGAGGAAACATCCAGGAGATTAGTAAAACTAGACTGTCTATGGGGGTGAGTGTACTTCCAGAGTTTGAATTGGGTTGGGGGAGGGAGTCATTCCTGAACGTGGGTGGCACGTTCAGGTGGGGTGGGGAGGTACTGGTGGTGGGGGATGGGAATGTAGGGGCTTGTCCACATAGGATGAAGGTAAAAGGAAGAACCTGTGAGCTCAAGTGTTCCCTTTCTCCTTCCCTGCATCCAGGATGGGAATCGCTCTGCTGCGTAGCGGCCTGCTCCCGTGATGGGCTGAAAGAAAGGCCTGAAGATTTGAAGCAGGATACATTTTCTGCCTAAGTTATTCTTGTCAGGTCTGTTGTTACAGTGAATAGAACAACTAACTGGAGATTTTATTTTGAGATTATAATGTAAATACATTTCTCCTTTTCCTTTCCTTCCTTTAAACCCTCCCATATACCCCCGCTTCCTGCTGTCCACAAAATTCATGGCCTCTTTTCTCATGAATTCTAACTGTGCATTTTGACAGGTTTTCTGACTTTAAAGGCAGGTCATAAAATTCAATCCTTTTACTCTGTGATTGCCCACATCCTCCAACGTTATTTAAAAATATTTTTAAAAACCCATGTATTTATTTAATAAAGCAATGTGCAAGCACTTTACTACTGTGGTGCCCAGTCTGTGGGGACTCTAAAAGAGCACCAGGGAGACTGACTCACCGAAATGCAAAAGCAAGGTTCATTGTCTGCACAATACAAGCTGGCAGGGACCTCATCTAAGCAACTGGTGCAGCAGCGCCAAGAGGAGGTGCCCTGCCCTTCTAGAGGGCATGATTTGAAGGTAAAAACCAGAAAAGTTACATTAGCAGAGTGTGGGGTGACGGGCTCAATACTGATTGGCTCATGTCTAGGGACTTTTCAGAAATTTTATTCAGAAATTTATTCAGAAATTTCGAACCTTGCCTGTTGCTTGTCAAGTTTTCTTATTGGCTGACCAATGGTGGGGACATTCTGTGGTTATCTGTACTTTCCAGATGGCTACCCTGTTCATTTTGGTCCTAGCCATTTCTGAGGACTGGAATGTTTTATGGGGAATAGTTTACACAAGACACAAGATGGGGGCAGAGAACAAAATGGAGGAACTTTGGTTCTTCATTCCCCTCTGTTCTAGTAACTATAGTAAACCCAACCATGGGTTCCTGACAGTTAACTTATAAGTATCTTCAGTCCTGAGGGGTCTGTAGATCACAAATCTGGACCATAAGTTGTATTGTAATCAACCTGCCTTTCATGAATTTACTAGCTGGTTAAGAATGCAAGGCCCAAAAGTCAGTAATCAAAGCAGATATTACCAGGGGTCCCAATAGAGTAAAGATGAGAGTGGTCAACCAAGGGGTTAAACCAACTTTCTAACCAACCCTGCCTGGCCTTGCATTCTCTTTTCTGCCTTGCCAGTCCTTCTCTAACTTTAGCCATGTTGTCTTTGATTATTTCTGAACGATCAGTGAAGAAACAATATTCTTCCCCTAGCGCTGCACAGAGTCCACCCTGCTGTACGAAGAAGATCTAATCCCCTTCTGTTCTGCAAGATTACCTCCACCAGGGAGGATAAGGACTCCTCTAGGTGGGAGATGGATTTTTCTATGCATTCTATACCCACATCTATGGCAACACATAGGCTGGAGTAATATTGATTCTAGGTTACTAGTGCTGAGATTCCTGTACTCAATCTCCCCAGGCTAGCGCCCAAAAGTAGGCTAAGAGTGAAGGCTGTCATAGGCTCTCTCTTATGTCTCCATAGCTGTGAGGGCTGGCTCTATCCTTGCTGCACGAGGTCTAGGAACTCCTGATCAGTGTGATAGGTTGTTCTCGGAAGGAGCCTGACTCGTATACAACATCCGCTGGTCTGGTTTAAGACTTTGATATGCACGCAAAGGGGTAAACCCCATGGAGCAGGACCACCAAGTATGATTGTGTGGGAGCAAGTACTGATCCTGTGTGAAACTGTGGGTAGACAGTGAAGAATTACAGATGGAAGCTTTATCTGGGGGAACCTGTCCTATACACAGTCCCTGCCCAGTCGCCACTTGTTCTAGGGTGAGACCTTGTTGCCATTGGCAGTGATTGATGTCAGTCATCGTGGAAACAGTGACACTAACTGCGAGGTCCTCATAGTAAGGTGGAGCTAGGTCATAACAGAACCAGCGAGCTTTGGTCAAATTGGGTTGGGAAGCATTCAGTACCAGGTACGATCTACCCAACAGATCTATTAAAGGGTGCTCGTGTCCCATCAACGGGTTGATGGTTGACATGATCATGAGGCTAGAGCTGACATTTTCCTGAGCTGGTTGTGGAGTCACCCCCTGGATGGAACTCGGGGTGATGGACTGGGGGCCTGAGGTGGATTAATGACCCAGCTGGGTCCTATTGAAACCTTAATGGCGGGTGACTGGGCTTTGCCGATGGTGAACGTCAGTACTGGGTCATAGCCTGTGTAGTGGAGCTGTAAGCGCCAGGTCTTATCAGTGGTCCAGTCAGCCGTTTTGCCCATCTCAGTGAATTTGATGACAAGCTGGTGGCAGTGCTCTCCAGCAGTTGCCCAAGGGTGATTGGGGTATTGGTCCTTATCGCAGCAGGGTCCACAGTCAACTTGTTTACTGCCTATGGACCAAGTTTCTGTCCCTGCTGTCTTCATATCACCTGCCCATTGGACAGTAATTAAGTCCCCAGTGACAGGGGTGACCAGCTAATCCACCCAGTAGACTCACATTCCCATTTGGCACAGTAGGCTTCCCCCCACCCCCGCAAATATGCTGTCGCTCCTTGGAGTGAGAGTGGCCAGGACATACACAGAATCCCAAGGATCAAGTTGATCTCCTCCATCCAGGGGTTTTGCACCCATACCCGAGGAATGGTTCCTGGTCTGAGGGATCTTACCTTTCTCCTGCCAGGTCACAAACGTCTACACAGAGGTCAGGGAACCAAGTGTCCTTGGGGTTCTGAGCAAAAGAGGTGCTGTTAGCTATGGTGCTGTCCTCGTTAGCAATCATCCAGGTTTGGTTCCATGGGGAATGGGCGTTATACACAGAGGAGGAAGAGGGAGCATTGGCAGCTAACAGTAGAAACAAAATCAACGGGGCTCAACTTGATCACCACGGCAAAGATGCAGTTTTAGTGGATTGGAGGGATGTTCGGAAGCCTCCTACATCCACGTGTCTCCTTTGCAGTCCTCTGAGGTGGCGAATGGGTTGGCTGGATGGGCGTGGGAGCAGTGCACCCAGGTGGTGATGCCACCCACTTTGAGGGCCATTGGCGTGGTCATCAGAACAATGAACAGACCCTTCCATCTCAACTCCAAGGTCTTGTGCAAATGAAGATCCAGTCACCTGGCCAGAACCTATGATATGAAGGCTGGGTCAGACCCAATCATGGCCAGGAAGCCACACTTATACACGATTTCTTCAATTAATTTCTTTGCTACCATGTTGGCCATCTTGTTCTTGGTTGGATATGCTTCAATCCACCAAGAAAAGGTGTCTATGAATATTAACAAGTACTTACATCCAATTTTTCCAGGTTTGATTTCAGTAAAATCCACTTCCCAACCTGGTTGAGTTCCCCTCTGTCTAGCACCAGGATTGGAAGGGGATGGTATGGCATTGGCCAATTGGCAGGCACTTCCTTGGAGGCCTCCTTTTCCCTTTCATTCCTCTCATCTCCTCTTCCACCCCTTCCTTCTTTCTTCCTGTAGTACTAGGTATCAAACTCAGGCCTCGAATGTACTAACCCACAAGCTACACTCCCAAGCTCAAGAATATTTACTAGAGTAACTATGTCAGTACAGATGCCTGCTGTCTCAGCATGGAGCAAACAGAACACGGGCAGTTTCTACTTTAAGGGGATTTAAAGTTCGTCTTAGTAGGAAGTTCACAATAACCCGTGCACTGTAAGGCTGACTCTTAGCATCCTAACAGTCAAATACGATGGCTAATTTCATGTGTCAGTTTAGCTGAGCCATAGGATGCCCAGGCATCTCGTTAACATTTCTGAGCATGTCTGTGACGAAGTTTCTGGAAGGGGTTGACATTTGAATCCATGGATTAAATAAAGAAGAAAACCTTTCCCAGTGTGAACAGGCATCATCCAAGCTAAGACAGAATAAAAGGAAAGGATGGGCAGAGGCAGCGGAGGCAGGAATCTCTTTCTGGCTGACTGTGTGACCCGAGACGTCAATCCTCTCCTACCTTCTTTTGCTTCTCAAGCCTTTAGATGCTCACTGGAATATCCAGTGTGTGAGGGCGTGTGTATACACACACACACACACACACACACACACACACACACACACACACATATATGTACACTTTTCATACTCGTACCTTTACATAGCAGGGCACACCTACTGCCCACCTATACACATACATCTCAATACTTGTAACTATCTCCTATTGGGTCTGTTTCTCTGGAAAATTCTAATTAGCAGGAGTACTCCCATATGTGCCTTTCTGTTCATCGGTGACTCTGCCATGATTGTACTACAGGTAGTCCAATTATCAAATAAAACTTGGGTGGAGGTAGTGGGAAGGTAGATAGATAAGGCAGCCCGGCCGACAGATACTATAGATATCAATTTTTAAAAATTGAATAAAAAGATGAAGTTGATAAAAGGGACTCAGGAATACGGAAGTAGACCTTAGTTGCTAGAGTGCTTGCCTAGCATTTGTGAAACTCTGGTTCTGTCCTTATCAGTGCATAAACTGGGCAGGGTGCTGCAGCCCAGCTAAGGGCTGGCAGGAGGCTCTAGAGTTCAAGGTCATCTATGGTTAAGTAAGGAGTTTGAAAACAGTCTTAGCTGCAAAGGCCCTGTCTATCAGGGTGTGGGGGAGGAGAGAGAATATGGATCATAAAAAAAATCTACGTAGCTAGACTATATCAAACAAACTGTAGTGTTCTGAGGACCAAGGTGACCACACCCACAAGCAGACAGAGAGAAGAATATAGCATATATACAGTGAAAAACCACTGAACGTGACCTGCATTTCTTTTGTTAGATAAATTTTAGTTGATTTAAATAGCCACTTTCAGCTAGCAGCTACTGTATCAGCACGCTTTTCCTATTTCTAATTCTGGACAAGGTTTCTCCGTATAACAGTCCTAGCTGTCTTGGAACTAGCTCTTGTTGTTGGCTTTGAACTCACGGAGGAGATCCACCTGCCTCTGTTTCCTGAGTGCTAGGGTTAAAGGCCTGCGCCACCAGCGCCCAGCTGAGATTTGCTACTCTTAAAATGACCTGGAACTGGATTCTCCAGGGCAGATTGCTTCGTTTCCAAGTTACTGATTATATAGCCTTCACTGACAATCAAACAGGGCAACCATCCACTGTGCCCTAGCAAGACACTCTCTCCACCCCTCGGCACTTTGGTTTGTTTCTGCTTCTCTCTGTGATTCTGGCACCTTGTCCAGTCCTTGTTCTCCTGGGCCACGACAGTCCGGTTCCACAATCTTCAGTGACGGGAGCCTTTCTGCCTGGCCTGTGAGTCCTTCTGACTCAAACATTACCTGCGAGGACACCCAGCTTCTGTTCTTCTGCTTGTAGGGGACAGAGGACCACACCTCAGAAGTTGCCTCTGTTTCTACTCACAGGGCCAGACTCAAGGGTTATA